TAAAATTATGTCGTTATAATAAAATATAAATAAAAAGACAAAAAGTAATCTAATTTATAATTTAAAATAAAGTATTTTAATTTTTTTATTTTCAATGAAAATTTATTGAAATGATATAATTTTAAAATGATTTTTTCTTAATTTTTAGAAGGCAAAGTGCGTGGATACTATTTCCTTTTCTAAAAAGTTTATTTCGCACTTATTGAGGATTTTTTAAAATCTCATGAATATTTATTTGAGTATTTTAAGAAAAATTTTATTGTTGTAGCAATTTTATATGAAATTAATGTATATCATCCCCATATTTAAAAAAATTGAAATCTTAACTTATATTTAAAAATCTAATTAGTTTTTAAATTTATATATCAATATTTAATAAGTTAAATTTTTAAATTTAAAATTAAATTTTAATTAAATATTATGACATAATTTAATATTAAAATTTTAATTTTTTAAAAATCAAAATTGATATATATATTTCTCATTTATAGATAATTAAAATGATTCTAAAATAACCAACCCCGGAAGCATCAGTTGACGACAAAAAAAAAAAAAAAAACCATGGCATGACGGGTGGTATGGTCACGAAATATATGTTTAATTATTGTTTGCTTAATTAGCTGATAATAGAAAAGAAAAATAAAAAGAGTAAAAGAAAATGGGCAAAAGAGAAAAGAGAAAGAAAATGGAATAATGGAAACGAGAAGCAAGAGTCTAATTCGACGCGATTCCCTTGTGCATGTAGTTTTTAAAAGTTTATAAATAGGGTGTGCTACTTCCTTTAATAGGTGCCTCATCCTCACCTGAAGCGAGCTAACTAGTTTTCAATAACTTATATTTTCCATCTCACGTATCTGCATTTTGATATGTATATAGAGAGGATGAAGCCCAGAGACTTTCTTCATGAACATCCACTGCACTACTTTGAAGAGTGGAGCAATGATGTCCACGGTAAGACTAGAGGTGTAAATTGCTCATCAGGATGTGGGCAGCCAATCTCAACTCAGTTCTATGCATGCATCGACTGTAAGTTTTTCCTTCATAAATCATGTTCTGAGCTACCACTGAACATCACTCACCCCTTTCATGATAATCATCCTCTCACTCTTTTAGCCAAAGCACCAGCCTCGGCTTCTTGTGATTTTTGTGGTAATTTAGTCAATGGATTTGTTTACCATTGTTCTTCTTGTCGTTTCAAACTTCACATCATATGTGCCTTTCTCCCACAATTCCTCACCGGAAATTTCCCAAAACGTGATCATCATTTTAGTGATGTCGATGAACACCCACTCTTCTTCATCCAAGAGGATCTTATTAGCAGCAATAAGGTTGAACTATATTCTCGTTGTTTTGTTTGCCCCGAATCATTATTTGGTAGTTCTTTTTATTACTGCCCAGAATGTCAATTTTTCCTTCATAAATCATGTGAATTTGAAGAGCTACCTTCGGAAATTAATCACTCTCTCCACGATAAACATGCTCTCCATCTCATAAAAAGAGACCCCAGACAATCGAATAGACGAGCATGTAAATTTTGTCTTAATGATACTAAGGGATATAGGTACAGGTGTTCTCCTTGTAAGTTCCAGCTTCATACCCGATGTGCTTTGCTCATCACCAAAGATTTCCCGCAACGCGAACATCATTTTAGCCATGTTGAACACCCACTCGTCTTTGTCCAAATGCTTAGCAACGAAGTTAAAATAAATTCTTCCTGGTCTGTTTGCTCACAAGCATTATTGGGCACTTCTTTTTACAATTGTCCTGATTGTGGATTTTTCCTTCACAAAGAATGTGAGGCAGAGTTGTGGCTTAAGATTGAGCATGTTGCCCACCCTGAACACCCTCTTATTCCTGTATTTGCAGCAAATTATGCCTGCAACTTTTGCCAAGGTAAAAGAAGTGATGAGAAGAAATTTGGATATAAATGCCCCAGTCCTTCTTGTATCTTTTATATTCATCATAAGTGTACCTTACCCATGTTCTTCCCAAAAAGTAAGATCCATGATCACCAGTTGATCCCATTCATCAGGAAAAATCCCTTCATTTGCGATGCATGTGGGGGGGCAGGAGATGATGCTCGCTATTTTTGTTCAAAGTGCAGTATCATGATTCATAAGGATTGCATTTTCCTGCCAAAACTCATCAAATTCAAACTGCACAATCATCATATACTTGGCCACAACTACAGGTTTCCACAAAAAGTGGGTGAAAAATGGACCTGTCAATTTTGTTTCAAAAAGGTGGTGGTAGAGTATGGTACTTACAAATGTTTGCACCCAGACTGTAATTATGTTATTCATGGGAGTTGCGTAAACAAGAATAAAGGTCGTCTTTATATCGAAGCTGAGTCAGAAAATGAGGAAAGTGATGAGGCTTCTTCTTCTTCTGTTGTATTGAAAATCCGACATGTGGGCTCAACACAAGGCTTGCATCCAACCTAAAACCAATTGGCAATAGGTGGAGTAGCCCTCCTTGTATTTAACCCACAAGCTTCTTATTTTTATACTCGATGTGGGATTTTCCCACTTAACACGCCCCCTCACGTGCAAGCCCGCTATGAATGTTGGGTCTTGTCACGTGGGTTAACACGCCCCCTTAAATGCAGGCCCGGTATCAACTTCGGGTCCTGTCAAGTGGGCTAACAACGGGCTTCCCATGGTAGAACCTGGGCTCTGATACCATATTGAAAATCCTGCATGTGGGCTCAACACAAGGTTTGCATCCAACCTAAAACCAATTGGCTTATGTTGGTCCAGGGATTCAGGCTGGTGAGCACTCTCCTCAGACTTGTCATGGGAATTGTCACTGGTTAAGGGATGTTCTTCAAATGGCTGAACCGAGACAGTAGGATTAGATTTGCCTTGATGGTGCTCATTTTCTTTAGACTGATAAGGAAAAATATCTTCATAAAAATGCACATCTCTAGAAGTAAGGCAAATATATGAGTTGAAGTGTTATTACTAATAGGAAATGGTAATCGAGTTTGTTTGGCTCTATGGCAAATGTCGCAAACATGCTTT